TGTGAAGTAATATTCCATTTTGACTTTAAGTATTTCATGATTCAGTTGCCTGTTCGTAATTTGGGTGTCCCTGTTCCTAGCATTACAAACATGGCTACAATATGAACTATACATACTTGTGTACCAAACTCCATCACACATGGGTAGGAGCCCTACCAGTGGCCCTGTCACCATCAGGATACCCATCAGGACCCCTTGGTAAGTCTGCAATAGGGTGGCACAGGTTTAACAGGATTCTCTGTGTGACTTCATGCTCATTTGTTGTTTGTTAAAGAAAGCATGGATAGTTTGGGGTATATTGCTAGTAGTCTTTACCACTTTTTCAGAAAGTGAGAGACAAATTCACAGAGGCCAACAGGGACTGCTAGTGGAACTTCAGATCTGCATAGACCTCAAGTGTTTAAACTCTGGTTCTTCTGCTCAGAGATTCCAAAGAGGACTAAACTCAGATCTTTATCCAAGACCCATTTATCAAAGTTGGACAAATTATTTTCAGGCTGAATATAGGGCCTTTGACTCAAGAAAAGATCCAGATTATCTGTTTTGCTTATAAAATCATCCACTCCTTGACTGTGTACATTTTTTTATATGTAAGCAATGCAGAATGAGTAGCCAGTGTCAGCATTCTTCCTGAACTTGGTTACTTTTCTGAAGCTTAAATAATTTCTAAAGCATAAAGACTATAACTTTTGAATTTATAATGCTCAAATGTTTGCTAGATTAAGAATGAATCTTAAATTGGAAAGGGATGAAATGAAGTTTTATTTAGCGTTCAAAATACTTGCATTTTTGAAAGTTACTCAAGTAACCACAAAAGATATAAAGAATTCTCTATTTCCCAATTTGAAACAACTTAAGGGTATACAACTCTTTGCAGATGCCAATCTAAACGTGTCAGCCAGATGGTTTTTTTCCCTAACACAGTTCAATTAAAATGTTTTATGAAGACCACCCATGGAAAATAATTAGGAAAAAAAAATTCTACTGTAGCTGAGAAAATAATCTTTGGATTTTAATATATTACGAGAGAAAACAGAATTTAATACCTCTGTGAGACAATGATATGGCACAGTCACTTCCTAGTAAATTAAATATATAAATTAGAATATCAGCAAGACATTAAAATGTGGGTTGTAAGACAAAGAAAAAAGAGAACACATAAAAGTTCTGCCTACCTCTGAAATAAAAATTAGAATTTTTTTAATCTTTTCTTTAGCCAAGAAGCTGAAATTGATGGGAGTCAATGCCATTAATTACTTGAGCTCTTACAATTTAGGTGATTTTTTTTTTCTTTTCCATGAAACTAGGTATCAGCATAAAAAATCCAGTTAAAAATACCATTAAGAGAAGTTTCCACTTCTGTGGGTAAGACAACATCTTTCCTCATGTAATATGAGTGCTGAATGCTGAAGGACACACAGGAATGTAGGGCAGAAATTTCCCCCACCCCCAAGTCCAGTCCCCTGTTATTGTGAAAACCACATCTTGTAACGCCTACTGTAAACCAAAATGTTACATGTGATATTGACTGAGAACAGTTAGCTTTCTAATCTTCCATGTCTCCATATGGATATAGGGCACTAAATAAATACGCACTACAAAAAAAGAGTGGGGATAACATAAATTCCTTGGGTCTACTTGCCTTACATGAAGGGGAATGGCTGTCAACATCTCCATTTGCATTTGATTGCACAAATAAACTATACCAAAACATTCTGAATAAGTAAGAACTAATGGAACTTCTGCTCTTTGGATGATTTATCTCAAAAAGATATTTGAAGGACAACATATCACTGTGACACATACAAAAATAGTAAATCTAAAGGTCACAAAAGGTAATTCAACACTCTTCTCTTTCAGAATCCCACACTCAAAACCATGTTACTAACTGTATGCTACAATTAGAATATGGAACTTACAGTTGCACTAAACAGGTAAGTTATGAGCTAACACAAATCATTGTATCACTGTAAAATAAACTGTCTGCAACAGTTAGAAAAGGGAACCACAACAAAGGTTTTTCTGAAGCTACTGAAGGAAGATGCAAGGTTTGTCAACGTGATACAATACCTTATAAAAAGGTTTTGTTGCTTACATTTTCCCTCCATTGATGTGGTCAGCAAATAACTGAGCCTAAGCCTCAGTTATTGTAAAGAATCTTCAAAAGCTCAAGAGTGAAATGCTGTTGTGTTCCGAAGCAAAGACTGTCATGGTCCAATTGGATCTCTCTAATTTACAGGACAACATAGTCTGTAAATTATTTTATGAGCTCATTAGGAAAGGAAGCAAACACACACATCAAAGGCTCAATCCACTTCATACAAATGAGACTAACATGGGAATTCACTAATTCATTCCTTAATTCATAAGGTTTTTAACTCACAAGTTGTCTATGTCATAACTTACAGTTATGCTTATAATTATAAACTTATAACTCAAAGTTATAAGTAAAATACTCCAGAGCTGCTGATAAGAGTGCTCATCCTTTCTCCTCTGTCACAGTGCAGGCCTCCCATGTATCCCATTAGGTAGCATGAAAACCTCAGCAGACTGGCTGATGCTGGATATGCTTCAGAGGTGTTTTTGGGCAAGATGCCATAAGTTCCAGCTTTAAAGTTTGGTCTACATGATTCCCATAAGTTAGTGGATTCTGAAGGAACTGACAATCAGTAGGGGGGATTATGTCTTCAGCAGACAAGTAATGGCTTTGTAGTGACCTGAACCCTTCCAGTGGTTTGCCTACATGTTGCTCTCACTTGGATCTCACAGCACTAGTCCAAACAACATCAGGTCTTTGTATGAGCTGTGTGCTAGGTAAAACCTGAGCAGGAACTCAGGTTCTGGTATGAAAAGTCACAGGACAGAAAGAAAAGCTTAAATGTGTTTCATTAAATGGAAGGAGATATAACCAGGTACCGGTTGGAAGACTACTTCTACAGAACATATAATCTTTTTAATTTAGTATTTTAAATATAGTAGTTCATACAAAAGTTGCAAACAGTGTTATAGTAGAAGCTTCTGTCACAGCAGATATGTTTTGCCAATGAAAATACAAATTACCTGGAGGCAGGTAACAATCAGATGATTCTCCCAGTGTCTAGATAAGCTGTGGAAATGCAGGATTGTGTAAATAGCAATATCTTAGAAAGTATTGTAAGGCTGGGCATTATTCCCAAGGGCCCCAAAGGAAAGGCTGGTACAACCTGATGGAAGAGAAGCTAGTCTTTGAGGCTCTGAGTGATTGTTTAGAAGGTGAAGAACAATCTGAAGAGCTTGCTCAGTTATATCCTACTGCAACCATCTGCTTTCAGCCACTGATGGATGAATGGAGAAGGAAATTGAGACTCTGTCTAAAACAGGATTCCATAGGAATATATCCAATTAAACCACAGAGAAAATATATTATACAAGAATTACTTTCTCTGAAACTACTTTTCATTTCTTTTTGTCTTCAAGGCTGAAGATGGTGAACAAAATAGAACAGAAAAAAAGCAGAAGTGACAAAGGAGTGAGAGAAACATAAAGCTCTTTGGGAGAAAGATAAAAAGCTGAACAGGCTTCTGGAGAACTTTAGACTCACTTCTACTCAGAAAAAACATCAAAGGTAGAAAAGACAAGCATTTAAGATTAGATTTAAGACAGCGCAGTGGAGAATCAGATGTATTAAAAAGTACATGCATTTTCAGTTTCCTTGTTTCATCTCTTTTTCATCCCTTTTTTTTTTTTTTTTTTTTTAAATGCATGGGTTTTGTAAAGCCTTCCTTTTCATTAATCTGTTTGCTAATGATTAGCACAAGTCTCCCAAGAGAAAACTAGGAAGTTGTACAAAATTTTAGTGCAATGCATACGAGTTGGTCCTGCAGCTGGGAAAAGGGCAATTATGATTCAGGAGATGATGACAGATTGAGCTCTGCATCCTGAGAACTTAGTCAAGGACACCGAGAAGCAGTACCAGAACTCAGGGTTTGGAGACCTATCTCAGGTAATAGAGAGCTGGCACATTATCTTGAGTCAATTTGATTGTAACTGAGAAATGTTGCTTGGCTTGGTTTCTTCATGGCTCAGAGCCCACTTCAGGATGAAAACAGACTCCACTATGGTAATAAAGACAGGGTACTTACCAGGCAGGTAATAAAAGTAAGGTTTTGTTCAGCACAGAATTGTTGAGTAATTCCTGCAGAAAGGGGCCTTTGGAGGTCACTGGTTGTTCCTCACCACTCTAGCAAACTGCATCAACTTCAAATTCGATCCAGCTTCAGGGATAGAATTGTTCAGTATCTTCTCCAACCAAAGACTGGACAACCCCAGGATTAAGGCTGCCATAGTCTCATATTTCCCATATTGAATTAAACTCATGGTGTGATTTTTTTTTTTTCCCCTTTCCTTATATTGCATTGGAACTCCACATGTTCCCTGTGTGCTTTTCATCTTTGTGCATCTCTGAGAAGTGTCTGGCTTCCTCTTCTCTGTGCTCTCACATTTGGTAGCTGAAGATAGCATCTTCCATTTTTCTCACCAGCATAAACTAACCCATTTCTTTATCTTCCCCATGATCACACTAGAGTTCTCCACTGAACTAACTCAAACTGGTCAATACTTTTCCTTTATAGGGAAGCTCAAAATGTGATGCTATGCTCTAGCACTGATAGAAGGGAATTAAGACTTCCCCCAGCTGCTGGATGCATCCTTGCTTATGTGGATCAACATGTGGTTGGTTTTCTTCATCTAAAGAGAAAATGGGAACTCTTGTCCTAATTACTGTTCAGAAGGATGCTTAGATTTTTTCCCCATGAAAATGCTTTCCATCTGGTCGTGGCCCAGCATGCACTCCTGAATGTAGCTGTTGCACTCCAAGTGGCAGACTTTGCAATTGTTGAAATTAATGAAATATTTATTCACACATTTTTTAAGGCTGTCAAGATTCTTCTATCTGACAGCCCTGCACTCCAGTTGATCATCACGCTCTACTCCAGTCTGATAGATTAAGGGTGAACAAGAAATAGAGATTATGTTGTATTTGTGAGGTTTTCTTGCCTTATCTGGATGGAAGTACATGTTAAAGGCAAAAAATTTTATGTCAATACAGATATATAATAGCTTTCAGTAGATTTTGTGTTCTGGACAAACGTGAAACCAGAGTTCAGTATACTCCACAAGACTGATTAATTTTGGGTGTCCCTGTTGCCTTCCTTACAAGGAATTCAATTACTTTTAGTTTCTTTCAAGGAAGGAGGCGATGTTTATTTTCTGCACTAAAAGTATATTCCAGACAAAGAATATTTAAAAATATATATATAATTTTACTAACATTTCACATATAATTGTTGGGAATGAGAGCGGGAAAAGACTGAAATTAGATTCCCAACATATCACAAATAAGAAATAATGAATTATTCCAAGAATAAGATCACAATTAGCAATAACTCATTAGAGAAAGTACAAAATATGTGACTAGGACTCTGAGTCTGTAAACCAGATTCTGCTGCAGGGGTTTTTTGCAGAATGCAAAGCTGTGTGCATTATGCCCAAGGACCCCAAGCTCCAGTCACTGCTGGATCACAGTTGGGATCCTCATCAGGGTAGAACACAGGTACTGAACGTTTGTGATAATACTGAAGCCGTGAGAGTAGTTTTTCCACCACATGAGGGTATTTTTCAGACACATCATTTTTCTCTTCAGGATCATGAACAATATCAAACAGCCAAAGTCTCTTTGTTGATGGATCAGACGATTGAATCTGTGACTCATTGAACAAAGACGGTGGAGGGAACCAGTGGCTGCAGCCTACAGGAACAGGAACAGATCAAGGGTCAGTTCTGACATACAGAGCAGCAGTGTGGAGACAGAGTTTTGCTGTAATTGATGAATTTACTAGGTCTCTTGACAAGCCCCTGCTTGTGACTGTTGCTGCACACCTTAACTCTAGCCCTGCACCAAATTCTCTCTAGTCCAGGGCTACTTAAATAGGAGTCTCATTTATGCAAAAAACCCACTGCACCACTGAGATCCAAAATTCTATGTAACTTTATTTCACATAAAGTAATTTAATGGACCTTCTTCTATGATTCTGTGCTCCTTATTGGTCCCTTACAATTTGAGATATTCTATGACAGTTTTTCCCCTAACATTCAAATAAGTCGAAGACAAAATATTTGGAAAATGAAAAAAAACTACATTGTTTTGATTTCAGAAGTGCTCATTCTAGATCTCTGCATGTGGTAAAAAACCTAAGAAATTAGCAGAATTACTCAAAGAAATTAAAATACATGAAACAAAATTAAATTGTGTTTGTGGTGAGTGGGAGATAGGATTTTGTTACCTGGATATCCAGTTAGTAACTTCCATTTTCCATGTCTTATTGCTGCATGTATGGATATATTGAAAAGTGTATCATCCCAAGGAGAATTGCTCTGTGGTAAAGATGTTCTCTTTTCAATGCCAAGACCTTATTTGAACAGTAAACAGTAAAAAAGTAAAAGTTAGGTACATTGCGTATTCATGAGGTAATTTTTAGAACTCTGTTGAAAAACAAAGCAGTTTGTTGTCAGCCATTTATTTTTCCCTACTGGATAAACATTTTGTTGTATATATGTGCAAAGATCTGTGCTATGAATAAATGGATGTATTTAACTCTGAACTTGAACAGCATTTAAAAAACTTACCAGTGGAAAATGTCAGAGCTGAGCCCAGATAACTGGCTTAATTTTGTACACAGATATTATATGTGTATCTCACATACCTGTATTAAGAACACTCAAGATTGGAATTGCTAAATTTTGTCATACAAGTGCCTGCATCTTTTGCTAGGTAGGAATATAAGATTGAAAGATCTCCTGAGTCAACCTTCTTAGGTCACTACAGGGAACAAGTCCCAGGTTCTGACCTGTATCAACAACAGAGAGCTGTCTCTCCGGGCTGAGCTGGCTGTGTCCACAAAAACCTGGTCAGCAAGCTTCTTCTGTGGCATATCTACTGTCTTTGGAGGAGCGCTGTATGATGTGGCCCCATATTCACATACTATTGAAAACTGAAACATTCCCTCTGAAAAGGAAACCTGAAGCTCCTTATAGGAGGGAGCTCAGGAAAAAGAATTCAAATGCATTGACCAGGGATGATTAGGAGACCACTTTGTTATTGAAACCAACAGGGAGGAAGAGAGTCAGATGGACAGCCCAGGAGCATCCAAACCAACTTCCATATGTTTTCATAAATAAAACAGGAGTTCAAGACAAAATCTACACGTTTTATATTAACTGTATCAGCTGATAACAGTTTACCAATGACTACCAGAAGGCAACTTTAATCAAATTACAGGACACATTAGAAGATGGAGAGAAACCAATGTTGATTTTTCCAAAAGAGCTTCTTTCCAAAAGAGGTGGTTTTCAATCAGTTTAGGGAAGGACTCAGCTGACAGACTTTTGGATGAGAATCTATGAGATGTACAACAATCTTGTAATAGCCAATAGGAAGCAGAACTAGGTATTTGTAAAAAGAGTAAACTCTGCACAACACAGTGAGGTAAATACACAGCAAATGGAAAGGAGAACAGAAAGTTGGGACAAGAATTACAAGGACACAATTTCTCTATTTTTTATGAAGGACTTGCAAAGTTTCTATTTTCTTACCGGACTTTGCACTTTGAGTTTATTTTCTTTAATAAACAGATTGTGCTTACCCAAGTTCCCTGTTTACATCAAACTTGTATAATGTTCCCAGATTAATAAGGATATAAAAGGGCTACTTGTTTGGAATATACATACACAGACTGGACAGGACTCAGCTCATTTTAGATCAAGAAGCACTGAAGCTGATCTAAAAAAGAAAATAAACCCCCATGAAAACAAGAAAAACCTCATAAGTAACCCCAGCAGAATCTCTTCTGGAAGATAAATCCTCACACAGCCATGTGATGTCCATAGAAAATAGGAAAGAGTTTAAAGATTAACACCACATACTTTTCAGCAGCATTGTGTTATGTGTTATTCTGTCATTTGCTTTGCTACTCCTCCTTGACTACTCCTGTTTGCCATCTACTTTCTTAAACATAATGAAAGATATTCAGCAGGTCAAAAAAGAGATATGCTTATTAAACCTTATGTCTCAAAGCTACAATTTCAAGGCATGGTCTAAAGATAAAATTATGTGAACCTGCATTTCTGATTTTAAAGTTTAGCCTAAAGAATATGCTTGTGCTTGCTGATCTACCCACAGTATGTGGTACCATAACACTACACAAGATAAACTATTTAAAATATTTCAAATAAATGGTATGCAATATTGTATTTTTATATATACTTTGCAAAATATCCTTAGAATGCCATGATGAGACTTAAAATAAGATTCAAGGAGATAGAATAGATCTAAATACTCTGATTTAGTCCAGGTAAAAAAAATAGACTCTTAAATGAAAAAAATGCTTTTACCAGAGCATGAAGTTGAAGATATTTGGTGAAATATTATCTTTCAGCAGAATTTCTTGAAGAGAAATGGGTAAATTCCCTTATGTTGAGCTGTTATAAAGAGAACTCTGTCAGTCATGTTAATTCACCCATTGCAAGCATTTGCTTTGTGCCAAAGAAATGTACTGTCTACTACTAGGGGGAGAGCATTGCTTTCCAGAGAGTACAAGTCAACTTTCATCATGGACTTTGGTCATGGGAAACAGGCTGATGCTTTTTCAAATGCTCTCTACAAGGATACTTACAGGACTGTTACTTTATTACATTACATAAGCACCAGATACAGAACTACTATAAATAAAAATTTTGCCGTATGTGAATGCTTTTCTTCCCATCCTATGACTTGCATCTTAAACTCAGATATTCCTCCTGCTGCCTTTACCCATCTTCCTCCTTCTCTTCAGCCCAGCTGGTAAGTTTCTACCTCTGCCTTCAGCTTTTGCTGGTGCCGGTGAAATGCAAAATACCTGGGCTATCTCCTTTGCCATATGAATTTTACATGGATCCTTTTTCTGATTTTGCAGACTGGAGATGTCATGTTTGTTTTGTTTCCTTTTCAAGACCAAATGTTGTCTCCCATAGCATCTAAGCAGTTTTTTTCTGAATTTGTTCTATATTGTAGGGGAGTTTTTATTTAATTCTTTCCATTATGGTTGACAGTAACAACAGCCCTGTGGACCAATTCAGCAGTCAAAGGACAGATGACTTTTATTAAGCTCAGTAATCAAGCCAGCCTTCATTGGTCTGCATACTCTCCTTACAAACTTATATATATATATATATATATATAAAAGTGATGCTTTTGATTGTGTAGAACCTAAACATTTTATTCTTTTGCTGTTGGATCAATGTATCAGTGGCTAATGAAATCAGGCTTTGTTTTTACCTTTAAATAAAGTCCCACAGCCTTTCCCATGAATTTAATTATTGTCAAAAGAAGCCACTGTTTCCTGACGCTCAACTTTGAAGCCTCACCAGTAGCTGTATTTATTTTTTAAGTAGTCTCTTGGGAAATTATAAAACTTGTATTAGTTAAGAAAATAGTGACCTTTCATTTAGATATTTATTTTCAAATATTTAATGCTAAAATGAATTTGTCTAAAGATTTTAGAGTTTTGGCTGGAGTTATAGGTCACCAATTAGTATTCAAATAGCTTTTATATCTTTATAGTAAAAGTTAGGTCCCACAGAAGATGTTGATAAGTGATTTTGGAACTTAACCTTGGTAAGTGATTTTGGAACTATAGATTAGTTCAAGAAATCCTTTGTACTGACAAGCTTAAAAATGGTTTCAGGATCAGATTTTTAAAGGAATGGAGATGACCAACTCTCTTGGGTTGCAAAGAAGTCTGGCCCTTTGACCCTTACAGAAACTTCAGCTTAGTTCTTTTACTTCTGTTATCATATATAGTTTCTATACACATACATATTTCAGATTAGGATGAAAAAGCCTATGTAATTTTCAATGGCTAATCTGCACCTTCAAGAAACCTGATTTTTCCAAAGGCCAATGTCATTAACTCTGAAAAATCCACACAAGATGCTCAGAAAGCATCAGTCAAAACATTGGCTACATATGCAAAAATAATTGTCGTTTTGATAATTTGAATATTCCGTAGCATACCCTTCAGGCAGGATACTGGAAAATTTACTACTGGATACATACATCAGTAGTACCCTGGCTGTTGACCAGAGAATATCCTCAACTTCTTAGGAAAAGTGAACAATCTTTCAGTGTGCTGAGTCTTGCTAATGCACAAATTTAAGTACAACAAAAGGGAAAGTAATGAACATGGCAGGGAAAGCCAACATTTCACATACACAGCAGTTTATCTGAACTAGCTACTGCTAGTTCAGATACACTGTTGTATCTGCTACTTCTGAATTAGCCACTGCTATTTAGGGAAGTGTTTGTGCTCACAAAGTTTTAATAAACAAGTATTGTCCAGAGGCTGTCCAGAAGCAGTCCAATACTAAAATTGGCAACAAACAGGACATTATGCCACCACTGAGGTCCTTCATGTATCTTACATGGTGTACTGTGTAGTTTTGGTTCCCATGTTACAAAGCAAACACAGAAAAGCCATGCAAGATAAAAAGACCTGAAACAAGAAAGATAAAAGCTATGGAACAACTTCTGTGTGAAGAATGTCTAAGTAAATATAGGGCTGTTAATCCTCAAAAATGGACAACTGATGAGAGAAAGGAGATCTTGGAAGTTGTGTGGCCATGGCAAACTGAGTAAGGAACAAGTCTTTCCTAATAAGGGCATTGAATAAATTGTCATGTATTGAAAATAAATGATACTATATATTTCCTTATTACAAACCAAACTCAAGTGTGGGATTCCTTTACATGGAATGCTGTGGGTGCCAAAAGTTTATGCAGGTTGAGTAATAAAAGGATACATATAGTGGAAGAAAAATAATTCAAGAATTCTTATATCCAAAAATACAGCCTAAAGATTAGCAGCAGGCTGTGGGGGGCACAAAGAGAAGTGTATTTATGTGCTTGCCCTCATGTACTCTGTCCTACACAACTGCTACTCTCAGAACAATGAACAGGACAGATTATTGAGGTGGTCCTATACAAGATGTGTTACCAAATTATTTTCAGCTCAAGAATGGCAAATAAAATATTTACAAAAGTGCTATATTGAAGTAGATTTATACAACTTTTATTATATTAATCCCTGTATGCACTGAACCGAAAGGTCAAAACTTCCACAAAAAATTAAGTAGAGAATCATAGCACCACAGCGTATCTCAAGTAGGAAAGGACTCGTGTATCATAGACTTCAACTCTCAGTTCCTCACAGGAATACCCCAAACTAAACCATATGATCGAGATGGTTGTCCACAAGCTCTGACAGGCACGGAGCTGTGACACTCCCTGGGGAGCCTGTTTCAGTGAAGAACCTTTTCATAGTGCCCACTGTGAACTTCTCCTGATGCAGTTTCATTCCATCTCCTCATGCCATCAG